CATCCACGACCCCCTACGTTGTCCTCCTCGCCGACCTCGACCGTCTGTTCGAGTCCAACGCCTGTGCATCGATGACGAGGTCGTCTTCTTCTTCCTCGGACCCCACTGCCGTCCACGACAAATCGGGTGCCGGCAAGCCTCCTCGAGCCCACTGCCCTCCCCTACCAGACCACAGTGAGCTCCCGCTCACCCTCGTCCCTTTGTCTTTGATCCCCGTGGCCCATAGCCTCTCCCCCGCCATAGCAGTAGCTTCGTTGCCACTGTCCGCATCACCGCCACGGCCACCGCTGCTCAGGCTCGCGTCCGAGCACAGCGACGTCCTCTTGGGTCCCCCAAGAGCCCAACGCACGCGTCCTCGCTTTCCCCCGTGCCCCTAGCCCCGGATCCGAGCTCGCTCGTTTCCGGCCGCCGCAGCCGTCGAGAGGGCACTCGCCTCCGGCTACCCCAACCCACGTGCCTACCACCGTTGGACGTGGTACTCCGCGGGCGTTCGGACGGCACCGACCGCGTCCGTTTTGACCCAGCATAGCAAAATCCCGACGTTGGTCATAGCTCGCCGACGCATTTCGGGCTCGCCAGAGCCTCACCGCCGTCCGCGCCGATGTTGCGCCACTGGGGCCACCCCCAGGGCCACTGATTGGTGGGCCCAGGGGCCCCGCTGACCCCCCACTTTGAGCATGTCGACCAAGTCAACAGGCTGACTGGACACGCCCAGTCACTGCCAGTGGGGCCCACCACCCCTAATCTAATTATAATGAATTCAAAACATGTACATTAATTAGTTTAACCTAATTACACAATGACGGGTGGGCCCAGTAGGATAATTAGCTAGTTTAGATTGGTTTTAACCTTGTTAACCCCCACAGTCAATGACAGGTGGGTCCCAGCCATCAGTTTGACCAGCGAACTGAATAGTTGACAGTTGACTCATGACATCGTGCTGGCACTTTATTTTCCTTTTCGAATTAGATTAACTAGATGATGCCCCGCGCATTGCGGCGTGACCTGATGCAATATATTTGAATGAGATTTGGTTGTATAAACATCAATATTTGGATTAATAATATATATCATTCATCACATTATATAATAGATATATATTATCAGAAAAATGCAAATTGAAAAGAAAAATATGCAGACAAATAATAAAACAATACGGATAACAGAAAATATAATAGTTTGAAAATCTGACATAAATATAAATATTTTACATGATAATATACAGAGAGAAAATCAGAGGTAGGTAGTGATAAAATAAGAAGCTCATCACCTATGCAAATAAACTAAAGGGAATTTGAGTACATGTAAACTAAATGCTCAGTCTATTATATCATGTCTTAAAAAAATCATAGATACATGGAGAAGATTTAAATACTACCTCTGTTTACATTTTACCAATGGTTTAGGCACACTAGATTTGAACTGAGATCTGTCAAAAATGATATATCCGGTTGCAATGAAATTACGCCGAGTTATGCAAAAAAAAGGAATCAATTCAATCCATATGTGTAGATTCTACGAAAAGTGGAAGAACATAATTTTCTTATTGGATTTCAAACGAGACCATATAGAAAATTGTTTATGACAATTGAGCTGCAGCAATAGCTGAAAATCTGAACCAAATAATTTTCTGCTATGATCAATTCAATTAAGGAGACGAAGGAACTGATGCTACTGCCCATATCTGGCTCGGCCGCTCGGCATCCCAGTGCATCAAATCAAGACGTGGATGTGTACGACCAACGTGTAGGAAACTGAATCAGCCGATTGGTTGGTGATTTGGTGTTTGCAAATGGAATGCTGATGTGGCATCATGCTGATGTGGACAGTGGGTATGCTGAGAAAATTGCTAGTAGTGGGGGATCAACTTCTTAAGAATCTAGTAAATGTTTAAATCTTTATAAAATCATATAAATTAATCCACAACTCGGATCAAAATTATTTATATATGAAAGTTGCTCAGAAAAATCCAACGAATTCGATTGCACGGTCCGTTCATCTGTCGCATGCCCCTAGCGTGCTGAACATGGAACCGTCCACTCTCTTTCGTTTGTCCGGGAAATACCAAATGCCGGGAAATCCCCTCCTTCGTCTACAATGTGTAGCGCCGCGTTAGAACACCCCTAACTCTGCATATTTTCATGTCATACTTAGTGATGCATCTGTTTGCTTATATTCATTGTTTCTTCCTCCTCTTCTTTCTGGTAGACCCCGAGACAGATGCTGCCCCTGTGATCAACTACGTCGACGACGACACTTCTTCCTTTAC